GAGACGTAAAGATCGATATATTGGATGACTATGTTCGGACACCGGAATGGTTTCGGGTGGTTTCGGGCATATACCGGAGTACCGGGGGGTTACCGAAACCCCCCGGGGGGTTTAATGGGCCTCATGGGCCCTATGTGGAGAAGAGGAGGGGCGGCCAGGGCAGGCCGCGCGCCCCCTCCTCCTCTAGTCCGAATAGGAAAAGGAGGGGGGCGGCGCCCCCTTTCCTTCCTCTCATCTCTCCCTTCCTTCCCCCTCCTACTCCAACTAGGAAAAGGAGGGAGTCCTACTCCCGGTGGGAGTAGGACTCCTCCCTGGCGTGCCCTCCCCTGGCCGGCCCCCCCCCCTTGATCCTTTATATATGGGGGCAGGGAGGCACCTTGAGGCACAACATTGATCTCTTGATCTCTTAGCCGTGTGCGGTGCCCCCCTCCACCATATTCCACCTCGGTAATATTGTAGCGGTGCTTAGGCAAAGCCCTGCGTCAGTAGCATCATCAACACCGTCATCACGTCATCGTGCTGACGGAACCCTCCCGCAAAGCTCTGCTGGATCGGAGTTCGTGGAACGTCATCGAGCTGAACGTGTGCTGAACTCGGAGGTGCCGTACGTTCGGTACTTGGATCAGTCGGATCGTGAAGACGTACGACTACATCACCGCGTTGTGCTAACGCTTCCGCTTTCGGTCTACGAGGGTACGTGGACAACACTCTCCCCTCTCGTTGCTATACATCACCATGATCTTGTGTGTGCGTAGGATTTTTTTTGAAATTACTACGTTCCCCAAACAGGTCATCCAATGGTCTGATGGGAAGCAAGGGATCAATAGTCTGATCTCTAGTGGTTCCCTTGCAAAAATACTGAAGGATAGGCGTTATTAACAATAGGGCGTCTTTTTCATTGCATGCAGACTTGTACATCATCAATGAAGCCAAGGCCAGCGAGGGAGCCGAGCTAGCCAGCGCTGGCCAGGCAGCCCGATGTGCTCAACCCGACATCAAGCAAAAGCGAAAAAGACCAAAAACAAACAAACAACAAAAAGGGCCAGTAGGGAGGATTACAAAACACATGACATCATCTTAGATGTACCTAGATGTGAGGTATTATCTCACATCTAGATAGCATAGTCAGACCCATTTATTTAACCCTAAAAAAACAATCTATTTTATCCCAATAGTTTGGTTTCAAAATTAACTAGTCCCTCTGTCCCATAATATAAGAGCATTTTCTGCACTACACTAGTGTTGAAAATACTCTTATATTATGAGATGGAGGAAGTAGATTATTTTGTGGCATGTGTTGTTGCCCGGTCAATTTTGGCTCTTGGTTGGTAGTTTGCCAAGAGACAGATCTGCATCAGACAGGGAAACAAGGGAAATTCCATGAGACATGCAGCCTAAGAGTTTTTATGTGATTCAGAATAGATTTTTACAACCTTTCCAGTAAATGAATGGCATATTATTTAGCCACACTCGATTGATTGTTTTCTCTGCATTTCTTCGGTCGTTTCATACTAAGCTCGAAGGAATTTCCATCATCAATCGCAAGATCTTTCTTGATGGCCATAGTGAGCATAACGAGAAAGAAGAACAAAATTAGTAACAAGAATAACAGTATAGTGAGCATGTGATGACTCAGGAGGATACCGACACATCTCAAGTTTTGCGAAGTATCGCGAAGTAAAGGGAACATCACATGATAACCACAGTTCACTCGAATATCACTCGTGTGCTCATAGGGACCGATATGGACGTCCACGTTTCCGTTTTCGGTCATTGAACGAACGGTTTCGTCCATGTCTATGAGTTACCGAACCTACGGGATCACAAGTTTAAGGTAATCATGATCTGTTGAGTGTTAGTTGGATGGGAGTGAATGAGAATATATTTGTGGAATTGTTTCATTAATATTCAGAATAGTTCTGACAGGATCCGGAAGCGTTTCGGGGTCACCGGAAGGGATTCGGTGAATATCGGGTAATACCGGATATTACCAAAACACAATGCAAAACTGTTTCTAGCAAAACCAAGCAGATGTACTACCAAACCACAATGCAAAATTGTTCTAGCAAAACCGAGTGACTCTCCTACAAAACCAAGGAACTGCCCTATCCAATCCAAGCAACCGCATTACTAACAAACAAGTATGGGAAAATTATCGTAGCAAAACCAAGCAATTGTCCCTAGCATTACTACTTGGATTCTCTACTTTAGGCAGGAAAAACGTTTGACCAACTTGAATAGCCTTTGTGAACAACTATCTGACCCCCCCTTCCCATGCAACTTATCTATTCTAGCAAAAATCCAAAACAACTCAATTACAAAGAAAACACAAAATGAAAATTTGTTCTAACAAAAAACAAAGCAACTGTCCCAACTAAACCAAGCAACTGCATTACAATTTTGTTTTCCAAAAACCTTTTCAAAACAAATCATGACAATTATAATTAGTTACCTAACAATGATGCCCAGTTGCATGTCATTGCTAATTAGTTGGCTATGATACTAGGAGAAGTTGTCTGTCGGCGTAGCTCATGTTGTGTATACTCTGAAACATAGTTTTAGCATACTCGATGGTGTGGTAGAAACCTTATATGTGAATTTAGTGAACATGATAGTCATGGGAGGCAACTTCTAAGTACTTCTCGTTGATAGGTAATCATAGTAGGCAAACTAAGAAGAAGTTGCTTTCTTATAGCACTAAAGTTGTCGATTCAGCACTCAAAATTGCTCTAAAAAAAGTTCGTCGAACATACCCGTATGGGATCTAGTTTTAAAAAACTCGTTGCAAGAAACCCACCGATGAAATCGAATCTAAATTCCGATACTCAAACAAAAAGTTATGGCTTTTTACATTTTATATAACCCAAACAAATGCACGTACTTTTTCTTTCTTGACTGATTTGTGCAAAGTAGGAAGCATTCGAAGGATGAGGACCTGATACTTTCCTTTTTTAGTGTAATGATGACACATGATGCTAATTACCCTTTATGGAAGGTTTGCCAGAATGCACCCGTGCTAAGTGAGTTTTTTATCAAGTACTTTGTGCGCTCAGGAAGGCTAATTAGTGCAGCTACACTACTAAGCATTTGGGATACAACTATTAGGGTGCACAGATCTCGGAACTCATCAACACTAGACCAAGAAGGGATAATTACAAGTAGATGTATGGTGTATTATGTATATTCTATATTTATTGACGCATTCTTATCAAAAAATTATTGATGCGTTGTCTATTTTGTTTTTTATTATATTATAGGCTATATATATAGAAGAAAAAGTCCACTATACTCCGGCCGTCCTTCAAAAAGTGTGCTTTCAACTTTGTTGGAGAGTCAAACTATCTTAAAGTTTGACCGAGTTTGTACAAAAATATTTCAATGTTTGTGAAACCAAATAGGTATATGATAAAAATATATTTTATCATTAATCTAATGCTACTAATTTGATGGCATAAATGTTGGTGTATTATCGTATAAATATGGTCAAACATTAATTCTTTTGACTCTTCAAAGGACGGAGGGAGTACTTTGCAGTAGAGATTTTGAAAAATAATTGTGACAAAAACATCATGTAATAAAAGCAGAGCAGACAAGGGTATATTTTATACTTTTTATGAAACATATATTTTATATTTGTATTATATATTAGTATAGGAGAAAGGGTCCAGCCGGATGCCGGCGATTTGCGGCCGCC